ACATATACGCACACACACACACTTATAGACGCAATCCCAGGGCGTCGTCCTATAAAGCCACATTTCAACAACCCACACTCCAAAGACCTCCACTTCAAACGAAATCCCTCTGTCTGAGTATATCACGAATTGCTTTCAGGCAACGAAAGAAGAGACAACTTGCCCGGCTGTTCCTCTTCGATTTCGCTGGATCGTGACTGCCAAAATTAGTCATCTCGGTCGGAGCGATAGCATATTAAGATTTACTGCAGAGGGAATAAAAGCGGCGTGTGTAGTGTAAGAAAGGAGGTTTTGTTATAAGGTCCTAAGGGTAAGGCGCTTCTTTGTTCTGGTAAGTGTATTACGGCGCTCGCAACAGCCTACGGTCATATGAGAGCGCGGGACACAATTACTAAGTATTTTCAGTTTTAGGTAGGAATTTACAGTATAACACGGATAGCTCAAATTCGTCGGGACCGGCTTTGGAAGTTCGAGGGATTTGTAAATCGAAGGATATCATACAAAGATAAAGAAGACGGAAAAAAACCGGGACCGCAGGCACAATTCGACGGATTCGTGACTTAGAGTCTTCAGTGTTCGATCTATCCGTGCTATACTGTATTTCGAATTTTTTCCAGGTGGTGACCGAAGCCTACTCTTATCGATTGTGGGCTACCAAGGGATCTTTAACGTGCATAACTTGCTCACGGGACCTCCGAGATTTTTTCACCCTTATCCGAGAGGGATAGGTGTTTGATCTTACCCACTTTAAGATCAGGGTTGTAGCTGAAAGACAGCAGTAATAAGGAGCCATGTAGTAGCAGTAGAAAGACTGCAGAAAGTGTCAGAAGCCTATAGGAGGGGGCAGAAAGAGGAGACGAAAGCAGACGACAGAACAAAGTTAGAGAGCAGGAAAGGAGGTCAAATGAGAACATTTCAGAGAATACAATTTTCCCTTGCTGTCTTGTTTCGGACCCGGGACTTATTGAATGAGGGGCGAACACCGTAACCTCTAGACCATGATAGCCACACTCCCAAGGCCCTTCTCAGTCGCACAGTCCGATTCCCGAGCGGGGGAAAAATAATTTTATTAATCGAGTACCTGGCGGTCTTTCTACAGGAATGATGTATTTTATCTATCCCTCTTTCAGCCCGGGGTGGCACTTGCAGGCAGGATCGGAAACCCACCTCCTAAACGATCTGAATTTAATAGTGTCGATTGGGGGTGGGGGGGGGA